GGTGGATTCCAGACGCCTCACCTTCATCTCTCTCGACTTCTCATTCAGGACGGTTTTCTGACGGTGAGAGGCTTCCCTGACACAACGCTTCAACCCCAACGATTAAGTCACCTCAGTGCAGGAGCGGCTCAAAATTCATGCACCCCGCACGACACGTATGAGGTAGCGAGCATAATGAAGTGTAAAAAACTCTCCCTTACCTCTTGCGGCCCTTATGAAGCTCCTCATGATGCTTTCTGGCGAGCAACTCTGCTGACTCCGCCAGAGCTGCTCTCTTCTCGGTGATCTTCCTCAGTTCCTGAGCGGCCCACCGATGACGTTAACTCAATAATGAAGAGAAGAAAACATCGTCCGACTCGATGGGGCGTACCTCCTGCAACTTGCGCTCTTCTGCCAACCGTTGCCGCTTCTTCTCAGCGATTTTCTCCGCCACGTCCACCACAGCTTTTTCGTGCAATTCTTGCAATAATGTAGCTTCCTAAGAGACCGTCCTCTGCATCTCCTATCACCACTCTTACACGAAGCCCTCTGCCCTATTGACTATCGATAAAGCCCCAGCGGTTCACCTCTGCCTCCATCTGCGCCTTTCTGCGACGTCTCTGCTCGGCTTGTATGCGAGCCTGTTGTCGGACTGCAGACAACTGCTCAGCCTTCGTTAGCAGCGACTCATGCTTCATGCGTTTCTGTTCGAGGTTATGTGCGCGTCTAGATACAATAAACAAAGCACAGAGAGACCACTATCAGTAAGTGACTAAGCCCTCACTTGCTCTCTCGCTCCGCCTCAGCAGTGTCCCTAGCGAGCTGCAGTCGTTCCTTGAGTTCTGCGAAAGACATCTCCTCGAGGAGCCCATGATGGGGTATTTCCGAAGGATCGTACGGTGATGTTCTTACCTAGAATAGCTCTTACTGGCCGATGCTATGACGCGACAATCCTACCACACTAACTCTCTCCAATGCTCTTATCTGCATTATCATGTCTCGCCGCTTTTCCATCTCGTATTCGTCCTCTCTAAAGAGTGTGTCCACTCACTTGAAACGATTCTCTACTCACAGCCGCTTCCTTTCGAATTCCTTCGCTTTCTCCTCTCGAATTCTCTCACCCTCCATAGCTCTCGATTCGATAACCCTCCGCTCAGCCTCTCGCGTATTATCTCGCTAACAGGGGACAAATCAGGTACCACTAAGGGTGCGCGATGAATACATCAGATTGCACCACTGAGACCAACTCGCGCTTCCGTTCAAGTGCCTGAGACCGAGTGAGCATCCACGATGACCTCCAGGCATGCCCAGCGACCTCTTCAATCTCCCTCTCAGTTTCCTCCAACTTCTCACGCACAGTCTCCTTCTGTATGTTAGCCATCACATGGTTTCGCTTGTGATTGACTCTTGATGCCTCCGCCGCCTCTTCTCGAGCCAAATGCATTTCCAGCTGTGAGTACGATGAAGATAAGGGAGAATACGGTAGCGGACCAACCTTGCGACGTTCGAGCCGAAGTTTCTCGTCAAGCTCATCTTGCGCATGCATCCTATTCTGCCAACTGATGGCCACGATCTCCCACGAGTGTACGAGTAGGAGTAGTGACCACTTACTCGTAGAACTCCGATGCGTCCCTAAGCTCAGTGAGATACTGCTTCAATATGTCATGTTCAAGCTCCTGCTTCCTGGTCAGCAGAGAATACTCCCTAACCGAACAACACGATATTTAGGACAACTGAAGAGAGCAATCCATTCAATGCCTCTTCGACAGTTCTAATCACACACCAATCACTCGTATGATACCTCAATTCTGTCGAATCTTCCAAGAGATTTGTATATTATAGTGAGACCAGTAACAGGAGCCTTGAACTGGTCCTTGCTACTGACCTGAGTAGGCTTGCACTAGTAGCCTTGACCTCAGCCTCTGGCAGTATTTTCGGAACAGGTTTAGCAGGGTTCGGTTGGAAGGTGCACTCGGCCAGTCGCTCGTTATCGATCTCCTAAGAACATGATCAACGGGATCCTACATGCCGAAGTGTTGGTACCACTACTCGTATTCATTACTCACCTTTCTCAAGCTGTCTATGTCCGCAGCACGACTAGCAGTCGCCAAGGTCGGCACCGCTGCCTCGTCGGCATATTTAGACAGCGTCCTCTCCTTCATCATCAGCAGACGTGCCTCGTCTTGTTCCTACATGAACATTACATTGCTCACAAGAGGGGACATGATCTCGTCAAGGTACAGGAGCAGGGAACAATCAAAAGACCCGCTATGAAGAACCCTGTCGCAACAGACACTCGACATAGAATGAGCAGACCCAACCATATGTGGCACTGCCGCACATGGTTGTGGCTGCTATTGAGTCAATATTGAACTGTCTCTCCACTCAATATCAAGTCCTATGTCTAAACAGCCTAATGGTTATGACGCGTACCTTGTGAGTTGAACGCAGCGGGTTCAAACCCCGCTACTAATTTATATTCGCCATAAAACTGTGGTGACTCTGTGACTCCGGGCTTCACAGCCCATGCCCATGCCCACCTTTATCTTTTGTAGAGAATTCTCATTGAGACTCTTTGGAATAGGTTTGTGCGTGACCTGAGCATCCAGAAGCCACATTGCTAGACTGAATCAGTCACAGCTCGCTTCCAATGCAACTGATGTGATCAAATTACTCACTGGTTTGATCGTCTCTCGTGGAACAGGGAGCTCCCGAGGCTTAGGCTCGGTGAGTTGGAACGGGGATGGTATGGTGTGCCTGAACCTCTGACTAGCCCAGCTGTTCACTTACTCAGTCCTCTTTAGAGAACTGAATGAGACGATACGCACATGGTCAACTACATGTGCTGGTGATAAAACGGAAATTATGAGGAAGCTTAGAGAAACTCTCATTGGTTTCTGTAGACTTTCGCCCTAATTTGCATATAAACTTGCATAATAAGTGAGGAAACCCCATGGACTCAGCTGAGAAAAGTGAACATATATTCCAACGCTGCTCAAGAGACTCACCAACAGTGAATGAGCTCTACAGCACGCATACGCTAAGACGGAGAAAACGGATTGCCGTACTTTAGTTTTGGTTCAACTGGTGTGATGCTTTGGTCAGCCTTGGCATCCGTACCGGTAGCCTTTCTAGATACCGAGTTGAGCAACGTGTCACAATCTGGGAAGGGTAGCTCCAACAACAGCACGAGGGAAAATACGGATGAGAAGTTCGCACCTTGTCTGAGACTCTCAATAGGTTTGAGGACAGACTCTTCGATGAACCTTCGATAAATGCTCATCCACTGCAGGATGGTATGCCAAGCTCTCACCTCTCATCGTAGATTTTCGCCCATTCAGTGTAGACCCAGGATTCTACAGCTGAGCGATCAAATGCAAACTCCAACAACGCTAGCATCGTCGGAGGGGAGCACGTATCGATGAACCTTGACGGGACCGAATCAAATCCCTAATCATCGTCCTTTACGATGGATTGGAATTAACCACGTGGAAGTTTCTGTAATTGTAGTGGAGATCGTAAATGCTCCATGCTATCGTCACTTTCAGCGTGTAACGTGAATTCCCGGGGGGTCACCTTGCGAGCCTGGATACCGTCAATTCTTCCAATCGTAGGAATATGAGGTAAGCAAGGACCTGGCTAGAGGCTATAACACGATCTTCAGCATAGTCGAGATCGGACCATATACAGGGTTTGGTCTCTCCGTTGTGTCACACCTGGTTTGAACTCTAGAAAAGCAGTTACGAAGATCTGTGCTGATATCAGGTCGAGGATTGTGGGCTTCAGTACGCTACCTTCAGAAACTTCTGATACCTCACACATCCATAGACGCATTGACGGATGAACTTCTCTTCTACCTACTAACCAGTATTGCGACCACCTGACCTCGTCTAGCACACAGATTCAGTCTCGTCAAGCTAATGGTAAGTTCACGTGAGCAGCACTACTTGGTGCTCTTGGAATTCAATGTCCAACATACGATATCGAAATCTCGAGGAATGGGGATGCGGTAACAGCACGTACTTCATTCTTCGCGTGTTTCACTTCTTCACAATAGTCGTCTAGATAACCATCAACGGTCTGTCTATTCGGATCGAAGTTGTCAATAGCCGACACTGTCTCTCGCAAGAGGGAACCATAGTCTATTACGGACGCCAACATTAAGGAGATGCAAAGGTTTGCTGCGTTTCGATAATTGCCTAGTATTGTGGTAGCCTCTGAACTCAACATGTCGAAATATGGCGAATTTCTAGCATCATGGCTCCTATAGAGTACTTGGTAGACCTCTCACCGTGGAACCCCCCTCAAAGGGGAACATAATACACTGAGATTCAGTTGACGTCAATGTAGCACAGAAATGTGAGAGCTGAAGTGCTCAGGAGTCCATCAAGAGCCAGAGGCTGCAAGGCCTCCAGAAGCGCCTTCTCTGATACGCTCGTCCAATGCTGCGATTTTACTTCGCAAATCAGTCGATTCCTCCGGCAATTTCGACCAACACGCCTCGGGAACGCAAGTGCCGCTCTGCAACAAGCTGTTCAAACGGCTGCCATTGCCGAAGATCGGATCACTCACTAGTCACTCCGTCTTGTGGTGGATGCTGAATCTGGGATGGACCATACTCTCCGCTGAGCTCGTCCAACTCGCATCCCAACACAGTTGAGCATCTAAGCACAATCTGACCGTGGCAGTTTTCGACAGTTGGCGCGTGCGTACGGGCTGCACGCACGCGCGAATTGATATTGTTAGAAGATTCCATCCGAAGTCTGATCACGTATATGGCAGCTGAGAAGGTAAGCCGTTTAGCGGACTTCTACTCCGCACCGGTTATTCCTAAAGGGAATACTCTCACCTCGTGGGCTGCCTTAACGAACAGCATCATCGGTGCAGGAATGCTCAGCTACGCGAGTGCTCAAGCTGTCTGTGGATGGGCATTGGGTATCATCGCTCTTGTCGTGTTTGGCGTGGTAACCTACTTCTCGCTGCATCTGATGAACAGATGTGCAATGGAGATGCCTGGTAAGAGGCTTAGTCACAGTACCTTTGCTGTGACCGCTGGCTATCCGAGGATGCCTCTATTTATTGACGCTCTCATGTTCATTCATAACGCTGGCATTGATACTGCCTTTCTACAGGTCTTTTCTAGCCTTGGTCTAACCCTTATCGAGCATTGGTTCCCTGGCTCAACTGGCGAGAATAGATTCTGGATCCGAGTGGGTCTTATCACTCTCATCGTCACGCTGCTCTCCCCAGTTTGCTTTCTGACGCATATCACTAACACGACAATCACTAATGTTATCGGTCTCAGCTGCTTCCTCTATGCGGTAGTAGCTGGTGTTGCCTACACCTTCAGTGTAGACGAGCAAGTCGGGGAGCGGTACGTCGACATACCGTCAACTACCACCGTTTGGTCGATTCTGTCGGTTTTCCCAATATTCATTTACGGCTACTCGTGTCAATTTGTCATGCCCATGATCGCAGAAGACATGGTCGATCGAAGCATGAGGAAGTTAGATCTCGCCGCTCTGCTTGCGATTGCTACCGTAATGGTCGTCTACCTTTCGGTCATGGTCGGTCCCTATTACGCTTTCGGCGATGCTATCGAATCGAATTTCTATCTCAACTTGCCGGTCTCTAACGTCGCCATCCACATCGGGTACATTGCTTTGCCGTTTGCCGTGCTAACTGCATTCCCATTGCTCCTGTTCCCAGCCAGACAATCAATCTCGGGTGTCATAACCTATTTTCGCCCCAGCTTACAAGACACTCTTAAATTGCACATCGGGACAACACTGCTTTTCCTCGCTATCTGCGTGGGTGTGGCAATCATCTTCGAGGATCTCGGTGTCACTATTCGGTTCATCGGCATCCTCGGTACCAACACCATTGGGTTCGTGATACCATGTTTCGTCTATCTCCATATTTGTTACAATCCGTTCCCGAGCTCCTCCGAGCAGCCCGTTAATGAAGAGGTGGGAGGAGGCTGTCCAGATGATGTTAAGGCTGATGAGCCAGAAGGGCAGGTCAACCTCCTCCAGAAGCTACGGAATCAAACCCTCGAGTGGCACGGGGCGTTGGCGCTCTTCATTGCCAGTATTATATTCTTCCCCTTGGGTCTTACTGGACTGTTGTACGATCTTACCACCAACTGACTGGCTAGATTGAAGCATATCCGTATGTAACACGACAACTTGTCCGTACACTCTGTCTCATGCAGATCAGATTCCATATCTTCGAATGGATTAACCTCTCTTGTTTGTAGTAATTGCCGAGTCAACGCCACTCTGTCATCGGTGTTCTTGGTTGTAGCATACACCAATCACGTGTCCCTTATTGTCCGGTCACACATTTTCTTATTATCATCGTGAATGTCGTCAGCGAATGATAAAGTTCATCTTTTCGGCGGATAAAACTACCCTCGTAATTCCCTTGTTGTACAGCTTATGCTGTGATTGTCAAGAATTGCTCGGAGTCGAGTTCGTACGCAGGCGAGGGATCGTTACCGTAGGGGAAAGCATCTCAAGCCTCTGCTTCCTACGAGTCCGCTGACAAGTCTTAGGTTAATTGGTCTCTTCTCATTCAGTATAGACCCAGGATTTTACAGCTGAGCGATCTAATGCAAACTCCAACAACGCTAGCATCGTCGGCGGCGAGCACGTATCGATGAACCTTGACGGGACCGAATCAAATCCCCAATCATCGTCCTTTCCGATGGATTGAAATTAACCACGTGGGAAAATCCAATTTCTGTGATTGTAGTCGAGAGCGTAAATGCGACTGGTCGCTCCACGCTATCATAGATACAGTAACGTGAGTTCCACGCGGATCGTCACCTCCCGAGCTTGGGTACCGTCAACTCTTCCAAACGCAGGAATATGAGGTAGGCGAGTACCTGACTGGAGACTATGACAGGACCTCGAGCCTAACCGAGATCGGACCATCTATACTGTATATAATACATTGTTTGGTCTCTTCGTATTACTCTTCGGACTACTAGGTGTTAGGCGGTTTGGGAATTCGATGTCCAGTACACGATATCGTAATCTCGAGGAATGTCGATGCGGTAACAGTGCGTACTTCATTCTTCGCGTGTTTCACTTCTTCACAATAGTCGTCTAGATAACCATCGACGGTTTGTCTATTCGGATCGAAGTTGTCAATAGCCGACACTGTCTCCCGCAAGAGAGAACCATAGTCTATTACAGACGCCAACATTAAGGAGATGCAAAGGTTAGCTGCGATGCGATAATTGCCTAGTACTGTGGTAGCCTCTGAACTCAACATGTCGAAATATGGCGAATTTCTAGCATCATGGCTCCTCTAGAGTACTTGGTAGACCTCTCACCGTGGAACCCCCCTCAAAGGGAAACATAATACACTGAGATTCAGTCGACGTCAATGTAGCACAGAAATGTGAGAACTGAAGTGCTCAGGCGTCCATCAAGAGGCCAGAGGCTGCAAGGCCTTCAGAAGCGCCTTCTTTGATACGCTCGTCCAATGCTGCGATTTTACTTCGCAAATCAGTCGATTCCTCCGGCAATCTCGACCGCATCGACGACTGAGACAGGCACACACTTCTTCATCTGCTCCAGGACGGTTCGCCGTTTTGGAATTGACCACTAGTAAAATGATTACCCTGTAAAACCAAGATATCAGTAAGTCGGCGAAATGTGCGACATTCTGAGTTCGAAATTGACATACCAGAACATGGAGCAAGCCTTTCTCCTTGAAAAAGGCACAGTTAGCCTCCATGGCCTCTCCAACCAGCATCCCAAAAAGTGATAGAGAGCTTAGGATGTATTCATTGATGTCTCCGCAGATGGGAGCAGATTCAAAATCGGTGGCAGTAACTGAAAGGAATGATGACGGGGACACCATAGAGCGCTTCTTCGCCGAGGGCACCAACGTCCAGGAGTATTTAGCTTCACATGGTCTGTAAAGTAAGGCTTTTTCGTAACATATGATCAAGAGTGTGAGCCTCACAGTGGTGCCACAGCTGCTATAGTCCACTTATGCTCATATTAAATTGAACAAGGAAGGGAGGCGATTGAGTTGTATAGTGAGATGTGATCCCTTTCGTTAGAGACCTCGGTAAAGCATGCAACTCACTGAGACTGGTGAAGAGTCCTCCAAGATCTCTTATGAGAGTTCCAGTCACAGCGTCGCGAACGCTGACCAACTTCTCTCCAGCGAGTCCTCGACCGAGCCGATCGAGCGCCCGGAGGCACATTGCTTGAGCAGGGCTTCGGGGCGGAGCGTTGCGGAATGCTCGTAGAACGTGATCTATGATGCAGGGCGACCTTGGAAAGGAAAAGTAACGTTCTCTATCGCACAGAGAACGACAACCAACCTTGCAATCAATTTCGATCGAATTGCCTCGTCAGCACAGAGCCCCGCTAGAAGCCGGCACGCATACCCAACCACTGCATATTTGCTCCTGTGGCGATCACGGAATCAACAGCGGACGCATGGGGTGACCTACGTGGTATCACAATTGGTCCTTATGATCTCTGCTGTTTCATGGGGAATATCGTACGATATGCAGGGAGGCTTCGCTTGTGGTGACATGTCCACCATGCACACCAGGAGCCTTAGGATGGCCAACACTAGGCGGTCATCCTGAAATGATGTAGGAGAATTGCAGAGCAACGAGAGGCTCGGGACCGGACGAAGACTCCGTTGAAATTATGACGTTTTCGAAGGTCATTCGAATGATTACACTCCTATTTCTAGAACAATATACTGCTATGATTTCTACCAGTCGTTCTAGATGAAGAACACTCGCCCGTGACGGGAAGTTGTTTCAGGCAGAAACATCACCCCCCCCCTCCCCCTCGAAGCTACTGGGCGCTGCAAGGCGCAGCAAACAATATGAACCATAATGTTGCGGATGATGTTGCACCGGTAAAACAATAACCACTGCAGACCAGTCGACTGGGCTAAATTAACAGTGATACAATGAGTAACCTCTTAAGAGTATTTCCGACTATTATCTCCGTATGACACAGAGAGAGATACTATTCCGTATTAACAGTGTAACCAAATATTTGGACTGAGTTAACTATAGAAGTGGGTAGAAATACCGACGCTCAACAGTTCTATGCTCACCTTGACTACGAGAAGACTTGCCGCTAGCTTCACCACTCCAGCATCCGCCAGAGCCTCCCCCATCGAATCATCAACAGACATGATGCCAATCAAGGCAGCCGATACCTCTGCCCTGAGGCAGGCACATTTCTCCTTCCGAAGGAGCTCGACTAGAACAGTAGTGAGTAACTGCAGATCGGCATCAAGTCAGTAGCAACATTGTCCGCCGATGACACACACATACTCGAACGTAGAGTCTGGTCAGCATCGAGCATCAGTCAGATGTCTCCTACCTTCAATGGCTTGTCGCCAGCTTCTGGTCTCTCTACAGTCGATCCCGGCGAAGTCGACCTAGAGCTGGTAATCACTTTTCCATCCACTTTCGAGGGCATGCTCGATATCATCCTGACAAAGACATCGCTACAATCGATGACCTCTCGTATTGATCACTCTATCGTGCAGTAGCTATGCGCCCGCCCTAATATATCTCTCCTATTAACTACGGCTAGCAGGAAGCTGTCCTGCTGTTGCGTTCAGCCTACTCCGGCGAACACTAAAGCTCCGGCTAATGTTATAAATCAATATCAATAGAATCGATGTGTGGAAAAGCTCAATAGGTGATCAGTTCCTCTCTCAACTGCAAATCATTCGGGAAATCTGTTTTTATTTGTACGTTTTCACAATTCCACAGTTGCTCACTTGCAGATGCACATTTTCAAACTGTGTGTCGCGTCTGGATGTCCTATCAAATTGGCGAGGACCTTTGCCATTGAGGGGCGGGAAACCGTCGACAGTAACGCTTCGCTTGTCGACGTTCCAGAAGGTATGTCCTCTACACCGACCAGCCACATCAACACGCCCTCTTCAATGAGTAGCTGAGATCACACCAACGGGGCTCAATGCACTTCAGAGCAGTTGCACGAACCTCCATAACTTCGCAGTTGAACGTGTAGTTCACCAGCGATGACGATGATGATGCATTCTCATCACTGATGTGGCGAATGTCACCAGCCTCGTACGCTCTATCCAAGTCACGGGGCCGCACATGGAGGATGAATTTCAGTAGGCCTACGATGATTGCGTCTGTCAACACAAAGAGGAGTGGTATACATAAAATTGCTTCTCGCGCGGATGGGGAGCGAAGCTCCGACAGTGACTTCAGAATGAGCTTTAAAGTGAGCCGACTTCCTAGAAGACCACCGTCAATACAGGAGGCAACATATGATGATATCCGACTATACCTGAAAGGACAACCCTAAGCAGTTAGAGTAGGATGGAGGCCCTTAAGGTTGCTGCAGATAGTGTATCAGGGGATGTACGAATGAGAGGGGCCTCAGGATCGATTCCCAGATCCTCCACTTCTACCCTCACGTTCAAGGTGGGAGAGAACCTACCATGCGTTGCGCATTGCCTCGTGGTCCTCGTTATTACCACCGAAGACACCATCTTTCAAGAGGTTCCCAGTACCCTAAAGCGGCATGAGCTCCTAAACCCGACAGGACCTGCCTACCGTCACAGATGCCCATTTAAGCTCCTCGATCATGTCAGGGACGTTACCGTTCATCGGAACATGTTCACCAAGAGATCGTAGCAAATCCTGACGGCAAAGCAGACAGATCGATCTAGTTGTTAGACAATCACGGTGAAACAGCAAAATCCTTCAGTGGGAGGGCACCCCACCGACGAGTTGATCCAGTCATTAGCGATTAGCGCTACTTTCCTGTCATGGAATAGTCCTTCCTTTTGAAGCAACATAACCACAGCTGCTATGAGACTCTTGGCATGTACCTTCTCATGAAGAACATTGAAACGTGGCGAATATCTGAGCATCATCGGTGACCCCTACTGCAAAGCTCGGTCGAACGTCCAGTCGAGCTTCCAACCATTTGTAAGCCTCCGAGGGGAACATGAGCGCATCTACTTTGGCTTGTAACAGATCGCAGTATCTACACCATAGCTACTACTATAAACTGCGCGTCACGGAGACAATCGGAGATAGAGACGAATTCTTACACTGTAGACTTGTCGTTCATAGAAGTGACAGAGTCAGCTATTATATAGCACTCCGTTGCGAGGTCCTCATCGGTGAACCTGATCGAAACGGAAGGACTACGGTACACACATTCGCTCATTCGAGACAATCCCCGCGGGAGAAGCTGTAGTGACAAGGAGAGCTCACAAAAGAGCTACCTGCCTTTTCCCATCATTTTCAACGGGCAGTTTACCGTCACTATAATGTCCTGACTATAATCCATCAGAGGAGGTATACACTCCCTGAGCATCCACTAGATCAACAGCGGTAAGCCTACAAACACTGGCTCACCGTCGTAACAACACACAAGCCGTGGCCCGGGTCATCGTCTTGACGAGGAACTCCCAACCACACCAGGATGCCAAGTCGTCGTTCAAGTTCATATGCTTCACATAGGCTCCATCCCTGAGACCGATACCTCTAGAGCCGAGGATACATCACCACCCCCTACCGTATGACGTTGAACCACGCCTCCGAGCGATCAATGGTGTTGAGCCTCTCCTGGGCTGCTAGGAATCTAACAGACCATCGTGAGCAGGGCCCTACGACTTGCCGAGACAGTCTTCAAGAGTAATGTGAGTACTTCAAGTGTATGTCATTGGCAGTGATAATAGATGGACTGGCGTCTTCAATACGGATGATACACTGACCACATCAAGGACCTCTTGTCAAAACAGCCATGAGGGGGAGGTTACCTCAATCTCCCTGTCATCTACGAAGCAATATTCCCTGGTTGACCTATTGCATCGATCTATCAAGGGCTGATTCTGAAAAGGGGATAGAGATTAGATAGAACCGAACGAAATACGGAATGCCAAATGCCATGCAGGGCAGCGATGATCTATTGTTGGTAGTGCTCCAAAGGAGGGGGCTTCACAAGGAAGGGGATACGAGTTATGTTCAGAGATGAAAGTTGAAATATCCGATTCGCGGGACCGTACTCGAAACTCTTCTCTCAAAAAGACGGAATAGTCTCCGATGACCTTCCTGATGAATCCTTTGAAGGGTTGAATCAATGCAGATGGCAGAGTCTGAACAAATACGGACACATAGTGGCTGCCTGAGACCAGCGTTTTCATCTGACTGTGTTAAACGTCACCGAGATTATTTTTTCACCCAACGATTCTGCATCTCGATCACAGAACAGCTCACCAAGTTGATACAGACGAACAGTCTTTCCCTTCCCACCTGCTGACCAACTGTCTGCAACGGATCAAGAGGGTACTCCACTATAGGGAGATACTTCAACGTGCTGGTCTTCCACATATAATGAGCTTGCCAAGCGATGACCAGACGAGCCAGCAGACTGTGTCGGCCCTCCGATTCTAATGGCACCTACAAAGATAGTTCAGACAGGCACACCCTTCAACCAAACCATAGAGAGAACGCTACCGGGTCTGATCGCAAACAACCACAAGCAAGAATATATCGTGTAACAGGCCCAGCTTAAACCTAGGTAGTTCCAATGAAGGGTATCAGTATGCTACTAACTCCGGTCGACCGACTACTCCAAGAGCCTTACCCGATTATCCTTCCACAGAGTTGCCCCTACCAGGATCAACAGGAGTGATGAGTTGTTGCTTGGATCGATCACCACCTACCGAGATTAGCCCCCCTCATCGACCCTCAAGAGTAGGTCAGTGTTGATACCTTGTCTATACTATCATACTCGATCGCTCCGTTGCTGATGATTCCTCTCATGTTGATGCGTAGAAGATACAAAGCATGTCGCCCAAGGCACAGATAGCACAGCTTCGCCCGGCCCCCTCGCTTTATAGTGACTATCTCAAAGTAGCTGAGCTGATCGCCACTGCCCTCCTCAATAATACAGGAAGATATGACCTTGAGTATCACGGGGTCAATGGACATCAACAATGACTCACACGAACCCTTTGAGGCAGAGCAGACAGCTGGATGATCGACTCGATAGAGAGCGATACCCAACTGTTTTCTCCTTTCCCGCTGACACAGCTACACACAATAATACCACAGAGAGAAACGCAAGTGTAGAGCATATTACACCGTAAAAGCTACATGCTGAATCGTCTTCGAGTCATCATATACTCAGAAGCGCCGACCTCCTCGTTAGGAGCAGCATTCTCATCACTATACCGTTTCCCAAGGGCCGATTCAAGTGCCGTTATTGTGCCCAGAGCATCTTGCCTCAGTGGCTCCCGACACTGCTTTGATAGGCTATTCACGACGTTGATGCTGCCTGTCGTTGAAGGGATGTTGTCTCGGAATATATAATGAGTCGATTCAGATATGTCAAACAATGATGAGCTTTCACCCTTCCGTTGCGACCAAGGTGAGGAGGATACACAGGATGAATGATCCATTCGAAATGAAATTTCAGAATCTTGGGCGTGCGCAGGATACCCCCTTATTGGCGAGGGACTAGGCAGCCTCGACAACCTGATAATGACAACCTCTCCAGAAATCGAACGCTATGCCTCTCCATCACTAACACACACCTCTTCCTCGCTGAGCTAGCTGGTGTTGCAGGAGGTGGATAATTCCACGTCTGCCGTGGATGCAAACGATTCTTCGAAACAGGGCTCGCCTGGACCGGACCCGAAGGCTTCGCACTGACCCTGGCTCTCCCCTTTTCTCGATTGCCTCCATCTAGTATATTGCCCAACCTAGAACTGGCAAAAATAGCGGAGCGAAGCAGCAACATACGTACCCTTCTCTGATATCCTTCAGCCGCACTATATCCTCACTAAGGTCGTCTGTTCGTACTGTAGGGCATTCAACTTCCTCCTCTCCTCCTTCACCTTCTTCCTCTTCTTTCACTGGCTTCAAAGGCTCGCCTGTACTTCGAAGTCTTGTCGCCTCTGGCAGTGGTGATAGCGCCGTCACTGGTGCTCCGGCAGCCCGATACCTACAGCAGGATCTGGACAGACTAGTCACCACTGATTCACCCCAACTCCTGTGCTAGTCGTATCCTCCCCTTTATAGTAGTCCACAACACGGCTATGGCTTCCCCCAGCTCGCCAGTCGTTACCAACGGTGGCACTCCGCTCTTCACGCTCTCAGCCAGTGATAGCAGCAGCCGTGCCTGGTCCGCTACTGTCGATGATGGGCCACCCGACAAGTGGGACGGAGGAACCTGAATGGTCTCCCTCGCAGAGTACACATCCACAGTACATCCAACATGCCTTCACGAGACGTTTAGTCAGCCTCCTGAGCTCAAAAGAGCTCTACCACACTTTTCCGAGTGGAAAAGCTGTGGAAATATAGGATGCGGAAAATTTCCACATGCTGACAAACGCTCCAAATCCAGATGAATTCAATTTGCCTCTCTATGGTCGCAGCACTGTAGAGCAGATGACTATTTCTTTTCAACTTCTTACGATTCTCCCTCTATCGGACCCTTTGGCTTCATATAACAGTATTACATATCAAGAAAATTACGCGGAATAAAACCCTGCATCATTCACACTTAGCATAAACACGCCCTTACAACTCGGAGGCCAGCGGACGACTATGCATCCAAACTGCAGAAAGGCTGATTCCTTCTTCCCTAAGATTCGTGAAGTCAAGAGTAGTCACCTCTCCCGAAGCACCGTGTCCATCTCCCTCGAGCAGCAGCAGCAGCTGCCTCCTCAATGCTTCGTTTTCCATAGTCAACTCCCCTATCCGAGCATGCAATCGATACACCTCTTCATAGCTAACAACAGGCTGATGATGATGATGCTGCAGTGTCGACGAGCTCGGTAACGACAATGGCTGCCTTGTTATTCGGCCAGATTCACCAACGAGGGAAGAGGAAGAGGAGGAGGCCATCAACAAACAATAACCTCTCTTAGTCCTTCATACCATCACCATATTGTTAGTGTCAGTTACCACTGTTCGGGGTCTAGTAGTCCTGGTCCTACTAAGTGCGTACATCGCGGCACGCATCCACCTCTCCCATAGGCGCTTTCAATGGACAAGAGGCCAACGCTCCCTGAATCACTAAAGACAATTTCTCCTTCGCTAGTCGGGCACAACTACAACCAAATCAGCCACGATTCGTCCACGGCTTCCTGCCGATAGGTTCCTCAGCACTTGTAGTAGTCTGACCGATACTCTCCCATTAACAACGCAACAACTACCCAACATGTGCCGTGTAACTTTTACGTTGGTAAACTCGAGTGTATAATCAACTACGGCAGAGCTCCCCTCTCTTATACCTGCCAACAGCAGCACATCACGAAACGTCCACACCCACCTCCAAAGTGCTAGTAGCAGTTGATCGCTCATGCTTACTCTATAAAGGCCTCGCCATTGATAGCAGCGCCCTCAACATCCTCCTCATCACAGTTTTTTGCTTCCCTCTTCAACCTTCGCACGCCAGCCTCGAGCAGCTCCTGCCATCCCGGATCACTACGCCCTCGGAGGACCTGATAGCCTATGAGCCCCAATCCTCCATATTCCCGTACCTGGTCAGCTACAGGGTTGTCGTCAGCTCCAAAGACTTCGAATATAGCCTCAAAGGCAGCTACCAGAATACGACGCGAGAATGCACCTAGTACAGATGACTCTAGTATAAGCAGTGATTCAGAGGAGGTGCTAACATATTGGGTTCACCTCGAGATGCGCGGTAAACGCAGCGCGAACTCGCATCTCGCTATCAGACCGTGCTTACCCTTCTCCCCAGCATGGACTCTAACGAGCTCCAGTAGGCCTTCACATACATCCACAACATGACCATGACAACGAGCCAGCCATGTAATACAGGCAACCTGCTCACGAATAGCAGCAGTAGTAGTAGTAGTAGTAGTAGTAGTAGTAGTAGAGGCTGCAGTACAGCGTCACCTACCTGAGCTTGTACCATGTCCTCCGATAAGGGTGGCATTAACGCAGTCATATGGACCGACCTCCTCACCAACTCCATCGAGTCCTCACCCGTAGATGACGAGCAGCATCCCCTCATACCTACACACCGTGACTGTCCTCCTCCCCACATATATACCTTCCCATCTCACTTGCGAACAACAGCGCCTGATAAAGGGCCTGCAGGAGCTCTCCAATAGCTGAACCATAAGCCCGCTCTCGACCCCAGTCAAGTTTGGAGAACAACGGCATAGCACTATCCAGACTCGACGAGCAGTGCTGGGCCAGGCAGGAGACCTATGAATACACCATCTCGACAAGGTGGGAGAACCGACGCCTCACCCCAGCCTCATCTACCGCATTCTCCACTATGATGATCTCCCCACAGCTCTCAAGAGCGTTGGCATGTAGTGACCACAACGATGCCAGATCCGAGAACATCTCCACTGGCCTGAGCAAGCCACTACTATGAACCATTCAGCTGAGGGCCTATACTGTTGGTTTAAGCATGGACATGTAAATACGTCTAACCCCAACACACGCCCGACTTACATTTCACTGCGCACTCGAGCTACCAATGCCTCATCCAAAGCCTTCGTAAGGGAATCACACAACTGAGAGGAAGAGAACAGACTCACTCCAGTATTATGACGCCCCTCTACAGAGGCTCCCTGTCCACTGCCAATGACTCGTCATACTAATATCTCTACCGTCGTATTAGAGCAACTTCCCTTACCTCAGCTAAACAGCCCATGGCGGCTTTCAAGACGCTACTATAGGCTTCCGCTCGGCCGGTGAACATGAAGGGTGCTGGTAGCGAGGACGACGAGGACATCCCACTCTCCGACATGGGCGCATTATCACTAGACGACCGTCCACTGAAACAACACTGCTGAAGGACGGCAGTAGACATCTTATTACTTCTCTACTACTGCTGAGACTATGAATGAAAGTGTCGAGACTGAAGTCAGCACAACTGACATTAAAACCAGAAACTCCATCCTACTACTCAACAGCAGCAGCAGTCCTTACGTCTAGCATTCCTCCTCCATGCATCCAGTACACTCTGTGCTCCTCTCTGCTTAGCCGGCTCTGCTGGTGATGGAGAGGAATCCGCAGCAGCCCCTTTGACTGGTGCCTAATGAGTGCTCCTTAACAACCTCATCAGAACCCTTATATAGGACTACTACCGGTTGTATCGAGGCCACCGTATCCACGACATGAGTAAAACTGTCTACAAGATGGCAGCCGGTCGAGCTCACCTATACAAAGACTTGGCAATGACTAACCTTTACAACTCCTCCTCAGTCGACTACCCTTAATGACCAAGTCAGATGCAGCTATCGCCGATTTAATCAGTATAATACCAAACTCAGAAGTACTCCTAGGGCAACCTCTCACGTGTTTAACCCTACTTCAGTGAAGAGCTAAACGGTAAACATTCCTATACGACCCTGAGTCAAGATCGTATAGGAATGTCAGGATCCCAGACCCGTCACTTCACCTACCAAACGATGTATTTCCTCGACAACTCTTTCTGCCCTCTCCTCTCCTCCCGTCTCAGGCGCGAACAACTCCATGTGGTATCCACGGCAGAGTGCTACACTATCGCATTATAGAACACCACGCTGAGAGGTCACCCTACCCGACGTCAGTTCAGCTGCCAATAGGGGGTCTTCTGCATCCTGTATGGTACGCTCTATATCCGCGATACGATGAGTCATTGGGGCCAGGCAGCAATCTGATAATACGACAACAGTCTTATTAGGACGACCATGAAGTGAGATGAGAAATTTCTCAGATGATATGCATCAACATTGGGAAGAATGTAACTTCGCAGTACAGCACATCTACCTGAGCACATCTCCTCCGTAGCGACTCTTGATAGCATACTACTAGCAGCCACTCTCACCTACCACCAACACCATACAGAGCCGTCACAGGAGACGGGCTCAGTCGTAGCAGTGTGAGTCTATGCACTCACCGCAGCATCACAATCCTTAGCCATAGCAGTCTGTAAGGCTAAATCGATGACATCAGGTGGCAACACAGGTTGGTGTGGAGGGGCACAGAGCCGAACCAGACCCTGAAGGGAAAACATACAATCGCTTCTCATCATTTTACATTTACACTGTGAACTCTCATCACTGAGCACGCGATCAATTGCCGAACATTCTCAATACGATTGAGCCCGTCAATCATACAAACAACAAAATTTCTTTAGTCACTAAAATCGGTCACCCTCAAATGGTCAAATGATCTTCTCTCGCGGAGATGATACGGCTCTCCGCAGCGAATAGGAGTGTACATGCCTTACTATTCGCCCGGTTATCATCGGTTACACTGCACCGTGTGAAACTCCATAGCGATGCCCCTCTCCTTCTACTACCCCTAAGAGCTCCCATTCAGCCTCGATGATCTCAATGCGAGCATCGTGCTCGACCTGTCGCTGAGAGGACTTCTTCTTATTTTTCACAGGGGCCATTGTCGAGTCCGACAACATACGCATATCCTCCCTCAGCGTCGTCATGACCTACCCCAAGCCAATCACTAAGCTACCACAACGCCCTCTTCCAGTACCGTATTGATAAGGCCATGCTCCTTTATGAGATTCCTAAGTAGCTTCTCCTGAGCCCATGACACTGCAGAGGTGTACACACTCAGTACCGCTTGCCTCACTGCAGCTGGCTGGGACCTACACAATGTAATAATAACTACTACACAACGACTGAATTATATTAACGAGTTCACTTCACTTATCGTATATCGACCTATCCCAATATACTACCGGCTCTCGTCCACGCCTAATCTCGGCAACATGAGCACTAGTAAGTTAGTCGATGCTAGTAGGTGATGCCCCCTCTTAGTAGGAGTTGATAGGAAGTTGGCCAACCCTATCACTGTTACGTCGCTGGTCTTTCGATCAAGTAAATGCGATACCACATCATCACCACTTTGGGGTACTGAGAAAGGTAACGAGTAGAGCAAAGACTCAACAACAGCAACACTATGAATGATAATTGTGAATATTTTTATTCATTAAATTGATAAAAATTCTATTTTCATGTATTTATATTTTGGAGTTTCACCCGTGATATGAAAGACACTAGTGACCGAAACATATTTCACGACTAGTACAGGCCGTTTTTCACCAAGTTTTACGCCACTTCACGTAAAACGGGTGAAACTCCTTCGATTTGACATTTCTTCAATGAACAATATTATCTATTGAAATTTATTGAATTTTCATGACAACATGAAGTCGATGAATAAACATCAGCCTCACTACCTTGGCTCTCTATCTCCATCTCAGTCTGCTCCACAAGTGGTGACCTACCCTCATAAGGGGCACTGGTGGCCACCGTGGGGGTCTTCTTATGTCGACGAATTTTACCCATCAATTATCACAAAAGGAAGCCAACACTAGATCACGACAACGCGAGATTCTTTCTCTCGAATATTGAAGGCAGATCCGATTACTCTCCAACCTAGTCGACGACAGGAAGACCTCACTCAACCTCGCATGACTAGAAGTGCTTAATAAACAACAATGCTTATACTAAACACAGATGCTTGCAACTCTTATGGATACTATTACAATGATCAATACCATGCCTTATCGTAATGAAGAGAATCCAAACACTACCGTTCTCACTTTAGCGAGCATTCGAGTGGCAGCTACTCACTAACCGTTTGGTGACCCGTGGTCATCGGACTCTTAACACTGTCGACATCGTCTTTGCCATAATAGCTCGAGATAGTCACACTGTGACTGTCACAGTAGTTGTAGCAACTTATCGTTCGTTCCTAGAAAGAGAACTGCCCCCTCAAGAAGCTCAAGTTGAATACCGATGTGTATAGTGCATCGCTCCGCTAGAAATTCGCGGAGATGTATCAGTGAGGGAGGCGGATCTTCGCCGCGGACCGTGTAACATGTACCCCATTTTCATTGAATCAATTCTGGACTTCCGAATCGATCCTAGCATCGCGTTATACGTGTAATAAGCGATTCTGGAATCTATTCTGAGTTTCGGGGGTAGGGCGAGCTTCTTTACGACTACTCCCGGGAGCAAGTACCGAAGAGGGTGTAGACACGCACTGTCGTCGGCACACTCACTGAGTGCCACTCAGATTCTGTGTCTCTGAGTGTCGCGTCCTCGTCGGTACTTCTAGGGTCATTTCGTACCGAATCATCCTCCTAGACCCACGGTGGGTCACCCACCCGACCGGGAGTGGGATATCTAATTTTTAGTCTTCGACCTTACTAGCAGAACCCGTCGCTTCGCTCCGGGGTTCTCTAGCTCGCTGACGCTCGAGGGTGTAAGCGATATGTTAAGATACACCAGTTAAATTATGTCCTTGTTGCACTGAATCGAGAACGTAGACCTATGCGTCCTTGGAAGTCTCAGGTTGAGATGAAAAGATCAATCTTATACGGAGCGTGCCACTTTTTCAAGCAAGTCACGAGATTTTCGATTTCTAATTAGAGCACTCCATACCCAGTCACATAGCGGATACCATTTTAAGAGGGATAGGTAATACTCGTAACCGTAACGGTTACACCGTTCCATGGATATTCAGACAAGCGCCCATTCTGACCGTTCTCAACCGTGCCAGTTTCTTACGCAACAATCACCGTACTATGCCACGCTCCTTATTCATCCTCAAGCTAACACTTTCGGAGTAACTTGAGAGCACGATTCTGTTAGCGGATCGTATGATAGCAAGGACACAACACCGACCCGCTCAGAGCGGCCCGCTCTGGAGCACAATCTAATCATTAGATGTTACTAACATCATGTTAGTGTGGATGATATGAGATAGTAGCTAGCACATGGTGATTCACATGCGACTGTATGCTATACTGAGCTCTGTCCAGTCATATGAACACGCGATACAACAGAGTCGTCGAAAACTCAGCTTGATAGTACACTGCATTGAATAGATTGAAGCGAGTCGGGCAAACGATGATGGACTTAAGTACTTAATCGGGTAGTAGCAAGTCGAACTCTGGATACGAACTTCATAAACCTGATGGGTCTCCATGAATTGCAGATCCACAAGGCGAATCATTCCCTCATGCAGGCTCTACTGTATATCCATGTTGAGTTTAGTCTTTAAACTTATCTGACTTAGAGTCTCCGAGTTAGAGAACCCGTCGCTTCGCTCCA